CGTTCTCTTCAGTTGTCTTGTGTCGAAAAAAAAATCAAGTAGATGAACATATTTCCGAAGTGGTACATACACATACAATTGCCACTGTTCACATTCATTTGAAGAGTCAAGAATTATTGCAATTACAATCATTTGCATTTAGATAATGATAGAGGTTAGATTAGAGATTTCGACTAGGTGCTTACGAAAATAGTCAATTTAACTGAGCACTCTGACCAGAGACCAGAGTAAGCAGTGCTCAGATCAGTTGGTCAGATATATTATTCGTAAACTCTTATCTGATTTGTGATACCTATGAACTGGGAGACTATAGTCTCCATGCCTATGAACCAAAGCCACCAAATTGCTTCTTTACGTTTTGTGTTTTGTGTTGCCGACATTTGTTGCCTGCACTGTTTTATTCCGCCATTACGGTTAGCGCGCATAAAATAGCCGGTATTTATAATATTACAAAAAAAAACATAAATATTTATCTATTTGTAGTGAAAACGCAAAGCATTTAGTAAGTATATTAAACTGCAAAAAATAAAAAACAAATTTTATAACGAGGACTAATTCCTTTTTTCCTGTATAGAAGTTTACAGTGAAACGCGACGAGTCCACGTTGATTGTTTTCGTTTTATTTTGTGTGATTAACGTGCATACAGGTTATTAATGATTTAGCTATATTTATTTTGTTTAATTAGGAACCGTAATATAATTTTTATAATGAAAAATTTAGGTTATGGCTGATAATGAAGACTTGGGTTTAGGTGAGGACCACATAGATTCATTTGATGAAACTAACGGAATGCACGACGAGGCCTTATTAAATGATACTGACGGTAATGGTACAGCCGCTGACGATCCCGAATTAGAAGCTATAAAAGCGAGAGTTCGAGAAATGGAAGAGGAAGCTGAAAAACTGAAACAGTTACAAAGTGAAGTCGATAAACAGATGAATATGGGTAGTCCTCCAGGTTTGAGTAAGTTTTGTTTATATTATGTATATTTCAGAAGTTTTATTATTTCGTTTCTAGCGAGTCCTCTAAATATGTCGATAGAGGAGAAAATGGAAATTGACAATCGCAGTATATATGTTGGTAATGTAGATTATGGTGCGACTGCTGAGGAATTAGAACAACATTTTCATGGTTGTGGGTCAATTAATAGAGTAACAATTCTTTGTAATAAATATGATGGCCATCCGAAGGGCTTTGCTTATATTGAATTTGGTGATAGAGACTCAGTACAAACAGCAATGGCGATGGACGAATCACTGTTTCGGGGAAGGCAAATAAAAGTTAGTTTTGTTTCTGATAGTACATTGTTGGTTTACAGTAGTAAACAAATACAATATTTATTTTATTAATTTGTTTTAGGTAATGCCAAAGAGGACAAACCGTCCAGGAATTTCCACAACTAACAGGCCACCTAGAGGCAGAGGAACTTTCCGTGGAACAAGAGGAATAAGTAGAGGATTTTATGGTGGATATAGACCAATGCGTCGACCAAGGTGACTTTTTTAATTGATACAAATTAGAAACAACAAAATTATAAAAGGTATAAGAGGAACTGGAGAGCATATAAGTAGACCAAAATTAATAAATTCCAAATGTAACATTAATAGTTATTAGATTGCACTAATGAAAAAATTAAAAATTTTTTCTTAACGTGCTTTGTAAATTATATTTTTTTAAATGCGAGATTTAATAAGCATAATTTATTTCTCTCTTGTGCTTGGTAAAAAGTTGCCTCGCAATTAACCATTTAATCAATAATTATTTTAAAATCGTAGAAAATTAAAATTTTCTGATGTTTGATAGAATTTGTTAAGTATGTAAGTTCTTTTAAGTCTCTGTTCATACCATCAAAATAATTAGGAAATGCAATTTAAGATTTTTTAGTTACGAAGATAGAAAAGTAATGGATAAATTTTTTGAAGAAGACTCGCAAGTTAAAGTGCTTGGTGAAAAGAAGTTTTAATACTGAAATTATTATAAATCATGTTTGTATGACTAATTACATTACAGGGCAGATGTTTAGGTAATCTACTTAGGTGAGGGTGGAATATACAGAAAACTTATTATATAAGTTTCTCTTTATTTTTATATCTGATATCTACATGGTGTCAAAAATAGGTGGGACTCTATTTTGGAAGCATATTCAAGTCATCTAAATAAAACATATGTACTAAATGCCCTTGTTTCATAGCTACGACTAAGGACGTGCATCGTAAGTTATGATACTTTAAAAATTGGGCTATTGACAACAGTAATGTAGGTACAAATTTACTGGGTGTACACAGTTATATTAATTAGTGGCAGATGTGTTGGGATACGCTGTCATTGGAAAGTATTTCAGAAATGTTATTGGTGCATTCGATCTTTAACCTATGAGACACGTCAAGCGTCGACTGTCTCGCTCGTCCTTATTTCACAGGGTACGTTGAGTGTGATTGTCTGACTCCCTCCTCTGTGAGTTCTGCGCTTCCTCCACATCATGCTCGCCTCTCCAAGCTTTCAAACACGTTGGCCGACGTTTTTTACACTTTCAGTTTACCTTTGTGGTTTAGGTTGTGAACATTGTTTCTGTGTTGGCTGTCTCCTAACCCTTATTGCCTTATTCTGTTCACTGTAATTTTTTTTTGATGAAGTTCACATGCTCAAAATTTTTACTTACATAACATGTTTTCTGTGGATTTGTCTAATGTTGGTGTTTGGTTATCGTTTCAGAAAATGTCTAATAAAAGAGAAGTAAAAAGTAAACTCATCTTGGGAACATCCAAATTGCCATCTCGGAGCTCTTCTTTGTCACTTCCATCACCTCTGTTTTCCGGCAATGTTTATCACACAGTGAGTTTTATTATCAATTAGATTTTCTGGTGGGAAAAGTCACTTATTTTCCAATATATCCAACAATGTACACCAATTCAACCCAATGGTTTGATTTTATAGCGTTTTGTTTTTGGACGTACCGGGGGGAACTTGGGAAAAATGAGACACATTAAAAAATAACAAAAAAGTCTGGTTTTATTTGAAAAACGAGTAAATTTGTTGGTTTAATTTTTTTTTTAGTCCAAAGGAAATTTAGCAGAAAAATGTGACCCGCTATTTTGAGAGCGCATTCTGCTTGTCAAACTAAAAAAGAAAGTTCGTATAAACATATATCGAAAAATTCTAATGGTTTCAGTGATGTGACAAAAAAAATGTAAGTGCCAAAAAATTGCCAATGGTTGATATAACTGTATACAAACTCGAAATTTTTCCTTTACTGGAATGAGCAATCGGTACAAGTTCAATTAATCTACGTCAAACATCTTTCCTGTATCTCAAAAACAAAGCTACGTAGGACACACCTTTATATAATTTTTTTTTGTTTGGGGAGTAAAATATGCTTCCGAAGTAGAGACTCACATTTTTGTGATATCTTGTATATTCAGTCAGAAATTTAAATCAGAGCAATTCATAAGGATTGTCATGTATGTAATGTATAAATGTAATAAAAAATATGATAAATCTAATTGCGACAGTTTAGTGAATGTTTCATGAAAGATTTTGCAAAAATCTTATTCGGATACTGGAGGTGTCAGATGTAACAAGATATTATCATCTGCTTCCATATTTTTATACAGTGCGTGTAATGTGGTGAAAATTTGGTCTCTAAGGTTTATGGATATTAGTTTTTTAAATAAAACTAGAAAGGCAGGCAAACTTCGCGTCAGCGAAGGTTGACCTTTCTCTCGGGCCTTCGGCCATCGGGCCGCGCAGCGCGCGACTTGAGCACCGCTCCGCGGTGCATTCTCTGTGGGTTGGTAAATAATATATACAATTTTCCCCAAAAAAAAAAGAGAAAATGCGACCCGCTCGCGATTCGAACCCCAGACCTTGGGCTTCACAGTCGTGAGTTTACAAAATGAACTACGGCGATCTAACGTTGGGTGGAGCCTGCATGGGCTATTTGAAACGTTGATTCTCCGCGAATGTAAACAGAAAATTGAAAATGTTCAAATCAAGTTTTGTCGCCAAAGTTACGTCTCTAAAAGATCGGAACCGATACCTAACGGCAATGTAACGGCTCACCATGGCCCGATCGTCCGGGAAAACCCGTCAAATGACAAAATTTATTTTGACGTCTTCACTGTCTCCATCTCTGTTTAAATATCGGATATAACGAGCGTTCAAATAAAAACGTGGTCGAAGTTGGCTCTGACACATTGGACGTAGGGAGTAGCTTACAGCGACCAACTTAACCTCATTTCTCAACGAGCTGTATAGCAGCTGTCAGTTTCAATAACGTTAATGACTATATAACTTTATTTTAAAGAATAATCGTGATAACAATAACAAACAATTAAAGGAGCTGCGGAAAGTGTCCCCCTCCTTGTTATAACAATAAATTAAAGCAGCTGCTGAAAGTGTCCCCCTCCTTGTTCCAAGCACTTTTCACACCTGTTCCTCAAAGAATTAAAGACATTTTCTAAGATGCTCGGGGTATTGTTAATTTCACGAATCTTGTCTATAAGTCGAGCCTGCAGATGGTTTAAATCAGGAATAGGCAGTTCAAAAATAGTGTTTTTAAGGTAAGGCCACAAAAAGAAATCACACGGCGTAATATCACATGACCTCGGTGGAAATTCATGTTCAGCATTGAGACTTATTAGTCGATTTTGGAAAACTTCCCTCAACATATTCATCGTCTCGCCTGCCGTATGTGCCCTTGCGCCATCTTGTTGAAAGTAAAAGTTTGTAATTTCGTTTTCTTCCAGCTGGTTAACAAAAGGAGCGATAATTTCTTCTCTATACCTTTGCGCAGTAAGAGTACCATTAAAAAAAATAGGTCCATAAATCCTCCTTCGATTGAGAGCACACCAAACTCCAATTTTTTGAGCGTGTAGAGGGCCCTCGACAAAAAAGTTATCTGGTTTTTCAGAAGACCACATTCTCATATTCTGTGAGTTTACGTAACCACTTAAATGAAACCAGGCTTCATCAGAAAAAAAGGTGATATTATGAAGTTCACCGTAGTTGTTTAAAAACCATTCACAAAATACAGCCCGTCGCGGAAAATCAACTTCATGAAGTTCTTGCTGACAAGTTAAACGATAGGAGAACAAACGCAAATCTTTTTTTAACACTGTGTGGCAGGTACCGACTGATACTCCCACCATTTGTGATAAAACACGTACAGAAGTTCTTGGCGCATTTTCCATTATTTGTTGGACATTTTCTTTTAATTCTTCAGTCCGCTTTTTAGGTCGGCCGCTTCCTTCTTTTCTTGTTACACTGCCCGTTTCACGAAAAACATTAACACAACGCTGAACTGCACTTTGAAAAATTTTGTACTCAACAACGCCGGGAAATTGATTTTGAAATTCTATGAAACATTCCTCAATAGAATACTTCCATATTCCATCAATCTTGCGTCCATTTCTAAAGTAGGACTCTATGATAAACAATTTTTGTTCTTGAGAAAACACCATTTTAAACGCTTTTTAAAACGAAAATATTCAAATTGATAGCGGCGATATAGCGCTTTGACAGATGACGGTTAAGTTCATTTGCTATACGCTACGCCCTACGTTCAAATTTTCAGAACCAACTTGACCACGTTTTTATTTGAACGCTCGTTACTTCGGGTATCTCACTCCCACTGAAAAAAGTCAGTTTTTGGCGAGGACTCTTTAAAGTGAAAATTTCACATAGAAGGCGCGAACAGATCGCCTTCAGAATACGACTTTAGATAAAGGAAGGACCGAGGAGCCCTCCGGGCCCCTGGGCTCGTCACTGCGTGATTCACGAGGAAAGCCTTTGATAATACCGTACGCCTCTTTTCGCGGCCGAGTGTGGGAGCGAGAGTAACCTACAGCTTTTAATATATATGGATAATAGTAACATTGTTATATTTTAAATGGAATAAATATTTACAATTGAAGAGTATTGACCCTTCTAAAATAGTATCAGTTTTAATATGTCATGCCACCAAGCCAATTTAGAATGGCTTTTCATCACCCGTAATGATTTTGTGCAAAAAATTCTTTGTTTTGTACCGAGAAAGCAAACTCATGCAGATGTCAACCTGTAGGTTTTTTATTTCTTCCATCAGTTTATGAGAAACCTATTTTCCGTCCATCTCTATCTTTCCCATTGTATGCCATCAAAGTGATATTGCTTGGTGAATAACTCCTAACTGTTCTATAAGCTTTTCGTGAGATTGACATGAACAATGACAACTTATAAATGACTGAAACTTATGTCATAAAAATGGCAATGTCGAAGCTACATTATGTCCAAAATGACAGGCCTATTACATCAAACAAGACAATGAAAATATAGATGCCAATAATGGCTAGGCATAATTCTCGATTTTGAAACCATCTTCAGCCGCGCATAATTATTTAGCACTTGGCTATGGAGCACAATAATTTTTTGCAGATATATTCATGTTTAAAGTTGTAAGGGTTAATTACCATCTTTGTATTGCAAGTTGTTTAGGTATTGTGCTTTCCAAAACTAT